GCTAAGGAATCAGCAGTGTCCAACCGTTTCTACAGTGCGACAAAAAGTCACACCATAAATAAATTTGGTCCCACAATGTGAGTGATCACTCGCAGTCTGAAGCCCCGCTGAGCATATCTGACTGGTTACTTTTGGTGCTGTATTATACAGTGCCTCTGGTGTAACATCAAGGGAGTTCTCAGGTTTCATAGTTTCAACCCAAGCATGGCAACTCATGAAAGAGAACCAAGTGGAGCACATCGTGATGAGATGCCAATTTTAATCAGCATCATTACAATCCATCTCACATGTATAACAATATGAAATTCTGTGCAAGACACTTTCATCCTACTGCATTTTTTTTGAGTCATAGCCTATTGGTTGTACCGTTATCATCCTAATTACTTTAATCCAGTTTCTTATTCTATTTTATTCAATTTTTTATTTTACTTTTATTCTATTTAAGTTCGTAAATGGCATGGCACTCAATACTAGTGAGAGAGAAACGGCATTTTGATTTTCTGTATGTCCCACACATATAGTGAATTGACAAAAAGTCTTTGAACCTTTTGAACCTCTGAATTTCTATTTTTCAGTGCTTCCTACCCCATGTTTTAAATGCATTTCACTACTTTATTACTGCTTCTTGTCACTTCCAGCCTATTACAATGTTTTATAAAGCCTCTCCTCACCTTTTCTTCAACCCAAGTTGTTTTTAAGACTTTTTCCTACTTTGTTTCCAACATTTTTCTTATTATCCCCTTCTTGTTCAGGTCTTTTCTTCCCTTTTCATCACCTCAATTTATTTTCCTCTTAGTGTTAGACAGATGATTGCCACTGTATACTTCCCAGCCTTTGTCAGCTTGATCAGAGTGTCTGTGACTGAGATAAATGGTGCGAGTGTGTCTTACATGGGTTCAGTGATTGAGTGAGCTCACCGCACACAAAAGGGCAGTAATCCCATGTGTTCGAGACTGCTACTGACATGGACCATTTAACCTCACCCCCTCGAAACGCTCCTCCCCATCTTTACTCTTTATCACATCTTTATCTATCCTCATGCTTAAGACCACAGGTGGAGTATGGGCTTACATTAGTGCTTAGCTTCTGCCTGTGAGACAGGATTTGATCATAAAGGGAGTTTTTGCTTCCTGTATTTTCTTTTTTTTTGATTCATGCAACTGGACTTAGGCTAAAGACTGTGCACCTCTGGTATCTAACCTTTGACCTTTCAGCCTGATGACATGCCAATTCTAGTCTCATCATCAACCCCATGCACTGGTGTGCCAATAATACTTGTACAGTATGTCTCCTGCATTCCAAGCCAGGTTAAGATCACTGGGAGATGACAAACCTACCACTGGGTTCGGCCTGCTACATTTTACAAACTCTTCAAGCTTCTCTTCTAACACCGGGTTTTCAAATCTGGGCACTTGTTACTATGACAAAGAGGCCACGTGGCTCAGCCACCGTCAGTTATGTCGAGTCCCCTGTGACATTTATCACAGTTTGCAATCTATGCTAGTTGCCCACTTAGCCCACAACACAAGTACACTTGTACATAACTGTAGCAAGGTGTCAACCAATGGTGCTCAGCAAAACCAAACTTTTCTACTGGTGTTAAGTTGCTCTTTAAACGTAATTAGTAAAATGCCACGGTGAATTTACCCCACAGTTCCAGTCTTCCAAAAAATGACATCGCTGTTATGTAATCATAAAATGTTGATACTTTCCTACTAATTAATGTGCAGAAATGTAGTGCACTGAACTTGACATTATTCTGTGCTTCAAGTATGTTACATACAAAACCTCTTCTGTTAATCAACCTGTAGACCACCGTACATGGAGCCTAGAGGCAACTACGTATGATATCACACATTTTGGTCTGGGGGAGTTTGGACCTGGAAGTTGAACGTCATGTCACACTTAAACGTGATGCTAAACTTTCATGTTGTTTCATCTTGGTAGTGAGTGAGAGAAAAGTGTTACTAGGCAGCGAGGAGAGAAAAACAAGGGTCTGAAGCTCAACAATCCCCGTCACTGGGGACACCATTACGCCTTCAATGTCCTGAGCCTCTAAAAGAACAATTCAACCCCTTCTTCCTGTTTTAAGATCTGTTTTTATGTCCCCAACACTAGCAAAAGAATGAATTACAAATGATTCTGGTTAGCTTGCTTCCATGAATACAATGAATGGCTTTAGTGAGGGCAGAGGGTGGATGTGGCACTAGTTGTGAGATGTGGATGGTGATTTAAAAAATATCAAGTTACGGTGGCAAATAATGTGGCTTACAGGGCACTCGGCCACACAGGTAATGCAATATTGATAGTGTTATAAGGGTCAGGGACGATCGTGACAAATCATATTAGCATGGTCTCAGGACATTAAAATGAAATGGTCATCCCTTTCAGCTGGGCATGTAAGAACGCTGCAGGGGTTGACAACTCATCTTTAATACGGAATGGCTGGCTTTCCTCCTAACATCAAATCATTGAAAATCCCAGGCTATCTGATAGCTGGATATTCTCTATTTCAGTACAGTGGAGGAAAAAGAACATAATATTATTTGGTAACTTCTTTATTAAACTGTGTAATTAGATAATGAAATGAATATACTGATCTTTTTTTTTAATTACTCATTTACTTTCTTTCATTTAATTTTTAAAGCCATCTCACATTTCATTCCCTTTGCTAGTAAGAGATATAATCCAAGTTATATAAGGAACTACATTATCTATCTTCATCATTCTGACTTTATCCATTCATGTCAGATTACACATGCAGCTGTTTGACATCAAACCTAACTCTGTTGTGTTATTATGTAACTGTCAGCACAGTGATTTTTGTAGCTATAGCCTGGACCAAGTCAACTTCAAATATTAAAGATATTAGAAAATAAAATGCAACACTGTCAGATTGCGTCATACTGTCTTATTGGAGGGTAATTACTGTCACTCATCTCTCACTACCCCTCTCATTACCCACTATTTGGCACCATTCTAATGAAGTCATTTGGCTGGG